CAGAGCTTCCCAAGGACTAGAAGCTTCCTCCACTGTCCAGGTCTCAGAAGAGGAAGAAGGGACATCATTCTTTTAGTTAACCTGGGGAGTTGTGACTGAGGCAGTGCCCAGAGATATGGTTCTTACTTGATGATTCCAGAAGGCTTTGCAAGACAATTCTGTATCTGTAATCCACGGGTCAAAGCCATCACATCATGCAATCTCTCCGAATTTAAGCTCCCCTGGGAGAGTCAGCTGTGCAGTGTTGACGAGCAGGGTCCGATAGTTACGTCATTATCTGAAGGCAAGGCCAGTGTTCCACCCAGGCTTCTATTTTCCTGTCTCTGTGGACAGCCTCTCCTCTCTGCTGTTATCTGGTTCAGTTGCTGTCAGTCATTGTCCCTGCCTCAGCTCGCTTCTCCCAACCCCAGCTAACAAACACATAATGAGTTTACTTCTTTTTGGAATCAGAAATTCTATTTTGGCTAAACTTTGTATAAAGAGTGTGCTGTCTTCCTCCATTCTGGGAGGATCTGGACTGGTCAGGGTTAGGAGACATCTGGGCTCTGCCCTGGACCTTGGGATCAGGCTCAGCCGTGTGACTTTGAGCACCCTTACTTCCTCTCTGAGTTCCACTGTCCTTATTTGCAAAGTTGGGAGGTCATTAAGGAATCTAAGCTGTGAGTTTTTCATTTGCTTCTCTGGGTTTAATGTGTTCAAAAATGCTGTGTCATTTTTACCCCCTGGCTCATCTAATTCACCTCATCTAAACAAAATCAAACAAAAAAAAAAAAAAAAAAAAAAAAAAAGGAAAGTAGGTCTCTACTTAGCACACTAGGAAGTGGTGGTTTCCAACCCTGCCATCTGCCTTAGTGTTTGATCTTCTTAGAGTTTGAAGTCAAAATTCTGGAACCAAATCCTTAGGGGGAGCTACAGTTTCTTAAAGGAATTCAGATAATTTGAAACCCAGCAAATAAACCAACACCTTTGGTTTAAACACAGCTCTTCTTAAGCTTCATGCCCTTCAGTTGCAAATGTGGTTTTTTCTCCGGCTTTTCTGCAGGACCTGCTGTCTGTCCTTGAATCTGAGACCCTCTGGGAAGGGAGACTGACCTCCCATTGGATAAGGTGATTCCCTATGCAGCTTGCTCCAGGCCTCCAAGTACCAGGTGCTCTTACTGAGCGAGGCTGCCGAGGCACCTCTGAGTGAGGCTCGCTGGGCTGACAAGTCACGAAGCACCTCAGAGTTCTTTACGGAGTGCTGGGTCTGTTCCTCAGTGTCTCCAGCGATATCAGGCAGGAGTGGAGGCCAGCATCTTGAACTGCCATTTGAGGTTATCTCTCTCTGACTACTGCAGCCTAAGATGCAGGCCACGAGAAGGAGAGACCAAGCGTGTCAGGATGCTCCAGATTTCTTCTCTGTATTCACAAGGATCAGAGAAACCTGGAAACCTTACTAAGCTATTTCTCGCCTATGCTGTTCTATAGGTGTCAGGAAGGTTAACTCTTGGTTCTTTACCACTGACCTAGAGTGGAGGAGAGCCCGGGGCCATCAAGTATACCAGGCGGGCCAGGTTTCTCTTTCCACTACACAAATGTACAGAGTATTGCCTGCCCTTCCTTGGGTACCAGGAACCCAATATCAAAAACACTGTTCTTTAGATGGTTTCTCCCTGTGGACTTCAGCTTAGGAAAACATACAATAGTGGGAGAGAACTCTACCCTACAAAGTAAGAAAACACACGCTAGAGCCAATCAGAAAGTATCACTGCTGATTACCTGCTGTTGAAGGTTATCGCATGTTGCACACGCTTTTTTTTCTGAAGTCATGTCGCTCAGGGCCACTGTTAAATAAGTCTTGACTTCATGACGAAAACCGTCCGTCCACATGCCCGGCCCACTGACAAAACATTTGTCTCTGTCTTGGGGCAATGACAACATCTTCTCAGAAATCTTTTCGGGTGATCCTTGGGAAAACGGTGGATTCCTAATAAGCATTTGTATTATGAGTATGTATTAAATATTCATATTTTGTTCCTATTCCTTAAGGAACACATCAATCTCTTCTCCAACAATTTTCAGGTGGAAAAAAGTAATTCGGTCAGATGTTATTCGCTGGGTTTCATGACTCTTCCAGTCATGGCTTCAAAGGCCAGTTCCTATGAATTCTGTACCCACAGAAGCAAGCACCTTTGCTAAAGCTTGCCGCATCATCGTGGCTCAAAGGCAACGACTTTGCTCTTTCCTCACCAGAAAGAGACACCCTCTGTTACTCAGAGACACCCACCTTCCCTGAGAAGCGGCTGGCCTCTTTTCCTCTGGAGTAGACGAAGGAGGGATAAGAGTCCATTTCAGGATGAAGATGATAAATAAGATCTCAAAAGCTTATCACACCACGCAGATTTTTTCCCCTAAATTGATGGTTTTGTCAAAGGTTGCTTTCAGCACTCTGTTCTCTCCCAGATGCAGTAATAACTGAATTTCAAGTTGGCATCTGGACATGGACCTCAGGCTCCAATGAGTCACACACATTGAACCAAGACATTCTGCTACCTTCAATAAAGAAAACATGCTTTCCTTTCTCCTCCTGCTGGACAATGGGGACTCAAGCAACACACGGGGTGATATCAACTCTTAAGCCTTTGGTTAGCCTCACTGCTCAATACAGTGGTGAGCTGGAGCGAGAGACCCGGAAGAGATTGCCTTTCCCAGTGTGCTCGCTGGAAAGGTAGAGACAAATTTGTCTCAGGTCCTGTAGGTAGGTTTGAGTCATGGCTAAGACTAGAACTCAGGGCATTTGAGTTCCAGTGTTACCTTCTGCATCTCTCTGCATGTGCTACAGAGAGCAGGACTTTCTCCGGGCAATCTCTCCCTACAGGATATTGGCTGGCCCAGGGGATGATTCTCCCTCTTAAATAGTGGATATGGCACCATGAAGAAGGACTTGGCAAATGAGAGGTAGAACTTCTTCATTTATCTCTAAGCAATCAGGCACTAACAATTGATAGCAAGGGAAATGGCCCGCGGGATACCCAGGGAAGCCAAGGAAAAGACAGAGATCGAAAAATTTGCCCTTTACCGAAAGGATAATCCAGCAGGGAGTTGGCTTTGATTAGTGTCTCTTCAGGACTCATTATGCGGCACGACACTGCATGTGTGGATGGCAAATACGAAACAGTGTGGTCCTGCCTCCTCTCCTCGCTCCCACAGTGGGACTATGAAGAGAAGAGCGCTCTTCCCTCTGAGTGTAGATGTGACCAAAGCATCCTTCTTACCAGCGTGCTCCAGGGAGCCACTACCAATCGTCAGCTCTTGGTAGCTGAGATGCAGCCTGCTGGCTCTTGCTGGTCAAGAGAACAGCTGTGGAGCAGATCCAACAGATTGCGGTTGAGAAATCTGACTGTTGGGAGTCAGACACAGTTCCATCATAAAAGATATCAAAGACCTGGTAGGACGAAGACCATCCTTCCCCTAGGCTGCTCCGGAAGCGGCATCCAGGACATCATCTTCAGAGCGTTTTTCCAAAAACCAGCTTTCTAGAGGGTAATGCGGGTGGGTGGGTGGATGGGATCATGGTAGGGTTCTTCATGCTTATTCTTTCCCAAATCTGAAAGGTCTCCCCCCAAACCAGGAGCTTGGGGATGTGTTGGCCCTTGTCTTTCTTTGGAGCACTTCCTGGTATTCATCAGGCCGGGTTGTCCCCAGGCATCTTGGAATGGAAGGTGCCACAGGAGGACAATGGTGCCAAAGCTCTTTCTCTGGACACTTGTTCCATAGCCACACATGCCAGATGCCGCTAAGGCTTCCCTTCCAGCACGGATTTGTAGTATCCCACAGTGTATCTAGTGTTCTGCATTCGTCCAGACAAGCGTCCCTATTCTTGACTGTGACTTAGGCATTTTGAAGGCAAAAATGTCTACTTCTCTGGGTCTCTTAGAGTAAATCTCATTTCCTTGAAGCCAGTCCTCTTTTCGTGACTGGCGAAGAACGGGCCCACAGGACCAATACAGAAGCAGCTGTCAGTCTCAGAGGTGAACGGGGGATGGAAATAGAAGAGCAGCT